CTGTTTGCGTGTGCCTTAAGATCCCCTTACCAGGTTCGTGAGAACCCCGCCGGTCAGACGCCGTCGGATTTGGGAGGTGTTCGAGTCATACACGCGCAACAGTCCGCTCCGGAAGATCAGAACGGAAAGAGTGAAGGCAGCAGTTTCCAGCTAGCAGCATGCTGTCGTTGTTTTCATTGCACAGGGCGTGCTGTGTGGACAGCATGGAAAGGTGTTGCCGAAGACGAATTCCTGATGACCCGCAGATTGTGTCTGCATGGTGGTGTGGGGGCAATTCTGCTTGCGTGGGTCGGTAAGGCCAGACACTTCGGAAGAAAGGCTTTTGCAGAACGTCTTGTTTTGCTGTTTGCGTGTGCCTTATAAGATCCCCTCACCAGGTTCGTGAGAACCCCGCCGGTCAGACGCCGTCGGATTTGGGAGGTGTTCGAGTCATACGCGCGCAACAGTCCGCTCCGGAAGATCAGAACGGAAAGAGTGAAGGCAGCAGTTTCCAGCTAGCAGCATGCTGTCGTTGTTTTCATTGCACAGGGCGTGCTGTGTGGACAGCATGGAAAGGTGTTGCCGAAGACGAATTCCTGATGACCCACAGATTGTGTCTGCATGGTTGTGTGGGGGCAATTCTGCTTGCGTGGGTCGGTCAGGCCAGACACTTCGGAAGAAAGGCTTTTGCAGAACGTCTTGTTTTGCTGTTTGCGTGTGCCTTAAGATCCCCTCACCAGGTTCGTGAGAACCCCGCCGGTCAGACGCCGTCGGATTTGGGAGGTGTTCGAGTCATACGCGCGCAACAGTCCACCATCACGGAAAGAGTGAAGGCAGCATGGGTAGTTCAATTGCACAAGGCGTGCTGTGTGGACAGCACGGAAAGGTGTTGCCGAAGACGAATTCCTGATGACCCACAGATTCCGTCTGCGCGCTGATGTGGGGGCAATTCTGCTTGCGTGGGTCGTTCAGGCCAGACACTTCGGAAGAAAGGTTTGTCTAGAACGTGCAGGTTTTGAAACACATGTCCCACTGGTCATGAGCATGACTAATGTTTTTCTTTTTTCTGGTTCCAAGCCTTTCCCTCCAAAGTGTTACAAGGATCTGGAGCATTCTAACTATCTTCTCCATCGCCAACACCTTTTCATGGAGTTGCTTGCAGTCAACATTTTGCTCCTTGTTCTGATTGCTGTGAATCTTACCATCACGGCTACATTTAACCACTCTGTGTTTCACTAGCACAGTTTTCGTTATCATTATTGTTATCGTTGCGAGGCCTTAGGCTTGTCATCATCAGTGTGACGAGCTTGCAAAGCATCACCTGTATCATCATGGCTGTGCAGTGCTGGCATGCTCTGAAGAATGATGATGGCCGGATTAAGGTCGAGGAAGGTGAACAACAGAATTACAAAGCCCATTTCTGCTACCGCCACAGGTGTCGATATCATCATTGCTAGGCTAGGCCTTGCCGTGACCTACTCGTTTGTATTTTGACCCTTTTCTTGTTGAACGACTCTTGCCATTTTTCTGGAGCCCAAGGTCGACGAAGCAGCTGCATCTGCTGGTGTACCTGACGGTCGGCTCCCAAGCCTTTGGTGACACCCGGTCGGCGATAATGGCTATTGGCTGGTATTATGAAACGTCTGAAACCAGCGCCAGACCCAATAACATATTTGTCGCAACGAGATCCAGTTAGAAGAGAGCTAGGCAGTAATGATAGTAATGCTGCTAGAAGGAGCAACAATAAGACTACCCCAGCAAGTTTGATCATCGCCCAGTGAAAGACCAGGTCCAGTTTGCAGTCTACGGGCTGCTGGACAGGGCATCCCCAGCGTTTCAAACTCAGCCGGCCGAATCTTGCAGTGGAAGCTGCCAGGATGGTGCAACTGTCTATTCCCCGAAGCCTTAAAGCCTTGAAGCCTTAAAGTTAGAGGGATCCTGGATTCTCTGTAGCTATGACATGAAGCTTCTAGGGTTCTCGAAGGCTCGATTCTGCCACCACGAAGCTGCTGCTCTGTCCAACGCTGCTCGTGGATCCTCCGACGGGTGTTGCCAGGGACTCGGCGCCCGAGTCTGAAGTGCAGAGTAGATAGTTTAGATGTTGATGTTAGATAGTGCCACTTTGTGTAGTGTATGCCATATGCTGACTGGCATCATCTCAAGTTCCAGGTGTACAGCTTCCTGCGAAAGATTTCCACGGCGCCATTCAAGATGCTCTCCTTCGTGGAAGACGGCCGCGCTCTCAGCCTGCTGCAGCTGAGCGTCCTCCCAAGCCTCAAGAGTTTGGGATAATGGACCAAAAAGACGAAGGACGAAGGGATGCTCTCCGTTTTTGTGAGGCCCTGTGCCCACCAGCGGTGCCAAAGATGCGCCCCAGGCCTGAAGCAGCCAGAGAATCCAATCGAAGCCAAGACCTTTTTGACATTTTTCCAGGGCAGCGCTGTGCGAAGCGCTTCGGCGCCCGTGCATGTGGACGAGGTTCTGGCTGGATGGGAGAGATACTCTAAGACTCTTGGGCCACTGGCGACCCCGTTTGGAAAGGTCCGTAAGCCTCCAACAAATATGTCGCATGGCTTCTCTTAGCCACAGGTCGTACACGCCCAAAAAGAGTATCGCTGCAGCCGGGACCGCAAACTCTCATCCTTTGTTTATTGCACAGGAGGGGTCACCCGAAGCACCCACGCCGGTGCGGCTGAAGAGCGCGCCCTTGCGTGGCGAGGACCGACTGTGACAGCTGCGAGGGCTCTTCCAGGACTTGTCGAAAAAGAACAGAATTATCACACAAGTCACAGCTTACAGGAGGTCAACCGAAACGGTCAGGTACAGGGACGCATGTCTTTTTTGAGGGGAGTGTTCTTTCTGTTGCAGGCCGTCGTGGCTGAGGACGAGGTCTCGGACCACTCGCAGTCAGAGGCAGCGCACTGAAGCCCGAAAACTCCGAGAAGCTCCGACGAAGATGTCAAAGGAATAAGAAGCTCCACGATGCAGTTTCCAAGCTTCTACTGTCTCTTGTGCCAGGGAGGCAGTGCCTCACCCGCCGTGCCCGAGCAGCTCGAGGAGGCCCTGGGGTCTACGACGGGTTTCGCAGCCTTTCAAGCGTTTGGAAATCGGATGGCTTCACGGACTTCAAGCCACAGGAAGGTTGGGGAGACTTGTGTTTGGGAGGCCTCAGGTGTAGGGGAGATGTTGGATGGGAGGTACCAGGTTATGGCCCTTGTTACCCCGTGACCTCTTGACCTCAAGACAACCTGAGCGCGTTGTTGTGATATCGTCACGTGCGCAACAACTGATGTTTTTGATCTCTGATGTGTTCGAGGGGAGGGGTCTCTGGGCTCCTCCAACACATGTTTCTTGTTCCCAGGAAACAGCAGCAGACATGTATTGGAGGCTTGTCGTTGAGCAAGGTACAAACCTGCCGCCCCAAACGTCCTCTTGTGCTTTAAAGCCAGGCAAAGGACCCAGAAACAATCTAAAAGCTTTGCAGTTTGCGCGGTCCCTGCCGGGTCCTACAAACTCCCCGGCCTCGTGCCGTCATCATCTTCCCGGCGGGCCAAACATATCGTTGTGGACAGACAGTGGAGTGACAAAGAGCGACAATGGAGGGAACAAGTGGGGAGGGTAACCTACGAGTCATGACAACACTGATCTGACTCATATAGCTGATTTAGCCGTTGCTGCTGTTTTTATCCAGACTGTAAAAATTTGGGGTCCCCTAAACCCTATAACCCCACAGTCGATTGTCGGAGCGTACACAACTCCATCCTGTCCGAGCCGGATTCCAGAAAGTCTTTCAACACCATCTCAGACTGTTTGAAGCAGGTTGTCACCCCCGCCTGCTAATAACCAGTGCATGCCAACCGCAGCAAAAAATATATTGGAGGGTCTCTCCGGTTGATAGTGAATTTCATGTTGTTGGTCTAGTCCATTCAGGTTCGTTAATGTTCATTTATCTTTTGGGCTTCGTTTAGCTATTTGAGACTGTACTTTCGTTATATACTGTACCAATATCTACATATGTTGTTTGTTTTCCGGGATCTCGTCTTTTTAGAATTCATTTGAACTTGATCTTTGATCACTGATTTGAGTGCTTGTTTATAAAAGTTCGACAATCATGAGCAAGGGGTTTCCACACGCAGTGGCTTGGCCGGCAGATGAACGTGCCGATGCTCATGACTGTGGCGAGATCGGTACCCATGACGATGGCGTACCATGATGCTGCTTTTGGTTCTTGCTCATGTTCTTGCACTCGTTGTTGTTGATACTCGCATCATCAGCGACGATGATGGCAACCGTGTTCACGGTAAAAGCTGTTGCAGGGTGGTTATGGTGTTGATGATGTCGGTAGGGGCACCGGTGGTGGTGGTGGTGGTGGTGGTGGTGGTGGTGGTGGTGGTGGTGGTGGTGGTGGTGGTGGTGGTGTTGTTTGTGGTGGCGGCGGTGGTGGTGGTGGTGGTGGTGGTGACGGTGGCGGCGGCGGCGGTGGTGGTGTTGGTGGTGCTGCTGCCGCGGATTGTAGCCATGGCGTGTTTCAGCCACGCCAAATGCCTTGATCTTGTGGGCAGGAGGTGTCTGAAGGCTCCCTACAAGGAGATCCACTCCAGCCCCAGATTCAGCAGGCTTTCCAGGCGCGGAGATGGCAAACAAAAAATTGAATCACATGTCGGTTTGGTGCATTAGGCATGACTGCATGGCTTTGCGACTAGGTGCTAGGTTCCATGTGTCGATCATTGAGGAGTTTCGCTGATTTTGTAGCGCAGGTTTCCGAGCTGGAGCTTCTCCTGAAAGCCCTGGTCATGCCCTGGAGGGAGGCTCCCCCCGCTGAAGGGCTTCTATGGCTGCTCCTGTAGCTGTAGCTCTTCTCTTTATTTGGGAAGCCTTCTGCAACGAAGCCTTCTGGTCCAGGGGCGTGGTTGGCGGTTGGCTGAAGGGAAGGCGAGCGCCAGCTATGAACGTGCATGCATCCGGGGGAAGCCTATCCGCTCAAGCAGTGGGATCTCACAAAGTGACTGTCTCCCTGCGAAATGCATTGCGTCCATGGTGCAGTGCTCAGATGCACGGTTGGAGCTGTGGCACGGCATCTGATTCGAACATGGGCTCCAGAGTCGGTTTTGGGCGAAGAGATCTGTGCGCAATTTCTCCGGTTTAAGACAAGGCCTCTTTGCCGCCTCGTTGGTGGCACGTCTGGTTTCCAGCGCTCGCTGGGGGCCTATGCAGGGATTAGCTGGATCAGTCCTCTGAGCTCTCTCAATGTGCGCCCTGAAGCATTCGAGGTATAGGTGCCTTCCAGACAACATGCAAAGCCGAAGATGTGCTCTACGCAGAAGGAGTGCCAGCAGGCCGCCATCCGAGAAGAAATGTCTCTGCCATCTGTGGAGGCAAAATACTTGTGTTGCGAGCTAGATATGAGCGCTGGATCACGTTGGCCGACTAGATTCTTCTGACTTCTGGTAAGTGAAATCATCGCCGGGCAGGCTTCGACAATGAGAACAAAGATGTGCTTTCGTCACATCGGTTGCTGGAATCTCTTGCCCCTGGAGTGGATCCAAGTGCAATCATGACTTGCATCCTGGCAGAAGAACGCAGAGGAAGGACCCCTTTCAGATATATTTGTTCTTCACTCAGATGGATTGTCTCCAAAATGCCTGATTCAGGCTACAACTTGCACCGCAAGTCGGACAAGTGGAGGCTGTCGTGGAAGCAGAAGCTCGCTGACAAGCTGATCGCGGCAGCTCAGATTCCTGCAGCATTCACCTTTTCTGTGTGTGACAGGGCCATTTCTTGAGCTTTTTGCTACCAGCCTTCAAGCAACAGACTGCAAACATGTCCATACGTTTACAATGCTGATGCTGATGATGATCACGACCATGCTTGTGGTGATGTTCATCAGCATGATCACATTCATCATGGTGGCTCGGGAGACCATGGAGAGAAAAGGCAGGCGATGAGGGCTGTGAGCATGTTCACGATGAGGACCACAGCGGCGGTGACTATGGTGATGCCTGTGAGTAGAATCCGACGAGAGCTTTATCATTGCATTTGCGTTTAAAGTGGTGTACACTAGATTTAATGGCGTGAAATTTGTATACAGGCTTCTGTGGTGGCGAGTGGTGCTCAGTCCCCAAGGCTTCCTTCACTGGAGCATCTACATCTGTCGGGAACTATTATCTGTGATCATTTCAGGATAATGCATTGAGAGTTTCAGCCAAGGCAAGCCAGGAGACATTAGATTCGAGGCTCCGGCGCGGATTCTCGGCCGTCTTCTCCATTAACCGTTCCCGAAAGCCCATCATAAATGTCACTATTGTCTTTCTTTACTCTTGTCCTCGTCAAGTTGCATGTTTGTATCTTTAATTCCTAAACCCTAAGCCCTAAACCCGAAGCCATTCTTGGCGCTCCCAAAAAAGTCATAAAAGCCCAAAGAGAGACCCCCCCCTTTTCGGCTCCGGAGCAGGAAGCTGAGGTCTGGTCTTTCCTCTGCTGAAGGGCATCCTGAACTTTGGAGGAGGCCTTGAGAGTGAGATGCTGACCTGGGCCTTTGAGCACGAAGACGGGAAGAATCCATTTTGCCAGCCAGGGCCTTAGAACCTACTGAGGCTGGAGAGCTCCATGGTGTGCTCAGACGTACTCTATCTCGCTCTCTCTCTCTCTTCCTGTCTCTGTCGCTGCCTCTGTGTGTCATCATGTGCTGATGCCTTGGTACCTTGAGGATGCCGTCGGAAGCACGACAGAAACGATCCTCGGCACGAGGTGTTTCTCGATAGGTCCGGCGGCTTGCAGTCGTTGTGCTGCTCTGACGTGTGCGCAGAGCACGGCGGCAAAGCAGGAAATGAGCTTTTGGAACACTTCGCGCACCTGCTTGTCAGCGGCGCTGCGGAGAGCGAGAAGAAACCGGTACCTGGATCCGCAAGACGGGGAGGAAACGAGACGGGTGTGGTGGTTCTGGCTTGGTAGTGATTTGTATGCTGTCGGCACGCTTGGAAACCGGAGTCTGGCATTTGCGAGAGTCATGTGTGCTTTTTTGTTTGTGTGTGTGAGAGTGTGTTGATGTAGGCCACTGCAATCGTCGAGGGAGTGAGCAGTCACAGATGGAGCAGCATGAGTACACTTCTTTTCTGTAAGCATGCTCCGTTTTTTCACGAACCCACCGAGCATTCTGTCCCTGAAAGCATCAGCTGCCCGAAACACGGGTTGGTTCTAGCGAATTGGAGTCTTTGCTTCCCCACTGTACCGACTCAAGCAAGCGGCTGCGTGGAGCGGTCTGAACTACCCTGGTCTGGCTTGCTGTTCTCGAAGTCCACGACTGAGGATGAGGGCTCGGCTCTCGTGCTTGAAGGCCTGAGCCAGCTCATCCAGAAGGCGCTGGAAACCCCGACAGTCCGGTACACCCGTGAAACTTGCAAGGATGCTTGGTGATGGGTTGAACCGGAACAGCGCCTGTTGCCAGAACTTGCCAGAGATTTCCTGTAGGCGATTGTGGCAACAACCATGGCTGACTGCGGGATGTTCGAGAACATGACGGACAGCAGCGGCTCGGTGGCGACCGATCTGTGTTCGGTTCATGCGGGCAACGTGCCGTCGGGCCACAGCCAGCAGACCTAAGCAGCTGCGGATGCGGAATCAACGTAGCTAGGAGTGCAACTAGGCGTTTTTCTTGTGTCCACAACTCAAGGACGCCTCAAATGGGACACCAACTTTGCGTGGCCTCCGGTGGTGTTGAACTCCTTCGAACTATTGGCTCAAGCTCCAGCGAGCCCACGAGAACGATACTTCGTCCAGTCCTTGGTGGATCTCTTCCAGGAGAGGATTCCGATGAACCCTCCACCCCATACCCTAATGGGGCATTAAGAGCAGCTCCAAACTTTCAGATGCCACCAGATGGGGGCTGTTCTGAGCTCGCACACTAGGATCCTTTCTTTGGGTCCCTATTTCACTGGGCACATCCACTCAAAAGAGCCCGATGTGGTCGAATTGGAGCCAGGACTACGTGAAGAAGACGGGCGTGGACCTTTCCAACCCCGAGATCCCTCCAGAAATGGAGAGGCTCGAATCGAGGAAGACACTGGAGTTGTTTAGAAGCTGATATCAGGGGTTTCAGAAAACTAGGGTATCTTGTCATGGCAGGTGGGAAATGCACACAACATGTGTTTGGATTCTACTGCAGAGCTGAGGTTCCGAGCTGTACCTTAAAGAGGGTATGTTTGCGCGGTTGCTGAAGGGAGGGTCTGCAAGATGGCATGCTGCACGGCGCGTTTGGTTAGTGTGGGCGACGCTTCATACCATGCGTCAATGCTTCGTAGACACTATGCACCCTGCAAAACTCACGTGCCCTTGGCAGATTGTGGTCCATGTTGCACAAGAACGGAGTGACTTCAGAGGAGGGCCGAGCCACTAGGAGGCAGTCCAAGCATGCGCTTCTAGCAGTCCTGAAAGTTTTTTTGACGTTAGCGTGTGTTGCTCTGGGTCTTTTCATGCACAAGCCATCGCAAGCCAATCCGAGGTGTTCGCTCGGGCCGAAGAGCGGGTGAGCGGCTTGTCGGACAATGCCAAGAGGCTTGCGGCCGGTGTTTTCTTGTGTGCTAATGAATTGAGCCCCGTCGGCCCCAAACTTCGAGCACCCTCCCGACCCAGTGCATGCTTCTGCGTCGGTCATTCGCCACCGGGAGTTGCCGGCTGAACCCTCCAAAGCCCCAAAATCTGGTTTCAAGAAGATAGGAAGGAGCCTTCATAGTTAAAACAGCATTCCGTTCCATGCTTTCAGTTTGTTATACCCTCCCAAACCCTATCAAGTTCGGGAAACCGTAAACCCTAGATCGCCTAAACCCCTAAACCAACTATCCCCAAACCCCAAACCCCAGCCTTCGCCCTGCAGCCCGGGAGGCCAATGTCCTGCCAATGCCACCACGTGGCCACTGCCATGGCCTCCGCGATGGGCAAGCACCTGAAAGAGGCCTCGGCCACAAGAAATCTTAACATGATATCATGCAATATGATGTAATATACGATAACATAATACAATATACTAGAATGCAATATAATAAGATGTGATACGATGTGACATAGTATTGCATAGTTTAGTATAATGTGTATATATATATACACATGTATATTGTTATAACGGTGGAGACATGCCAGCAATGCTGCATTGCAGGTGGGATTCGATCCATCGAGCAGCTTGGTCTTGATTCACTGCGTGATTACTTGGAGGTTCATGGGTACACGTAGCTATAAGTAGGGTTATAAGCCCCCTAAGATGAGCTATAAGTATAGTTACCAGACTTATAACCCTGCTTATAACTACCCCTGGACCTCCAAGCAGCCGGTGTGTTTATCAACACCAAGGTGCCGAAGCTGACTGGGCTCCTCGGCTGGCAGGGACACTAGCTTGTGATATGCGGCACTTTCCGACAGCAGGAGACCCTTATTGCAGACCTTGAACATACGATCCTCTTTTTGTACTTGCTTTTCAAGAGAAATCTTGTAGATATCACAAAACATGTCATTATCACTTTCATGACTGCCGTTGTCATGTGGACTCAAGCATAACAAAGCTTAAGCTTATGATAGCAATGATGTTGAAGAACATAGTATTAGTTCGATCATGTGCTATTTGTTTCAACTTTAAACATTTCAACATAGCAGGTCGTTTCAAAACCTTTCTATGTCAATAGCAAAGCATGAAAACCAACTAAGTTCACTGCTTTCAGAAATGCCACTTACTGTGCAGATTTCAATAAAACAAAAAAGCATTTATCAGATAATGCATCATTGCAACAGGCAGCGTTCCATGGTTTGTCTTCGACAGGCTGTGAATGTCAGTTATATCAACACCACTATTTCAATCTTCAGCCATGTTGATGAGAACATTTTTGGCGTTGTTTCATTGCTTGTCAGCCTTTCGATATTGATCGTACTGATTTCGGTGCTGAATTGTGTCTGTATCAAATCACAGTGCACATTCAAACGTTGGCATTACTCATTTTAGACATTATCATGTCACGGATCCCCATATCATGAAGACAAGGTGGGCACTGAGCCCGTTGAAAAGGCTAGGAGCTCCCCCTCAACGGAAACGCAAAGAAGTCAGCAGTCGATGACAACACATATCTTTGAGGCAGAGTCCACTCGAAGACTGCGTGATTGTACTTCCCTCTGAGATTTTTTGAGATCGCGTGATGTTGAGAGTATCTCAAAATCGAGGTGTGGCAGGCGACGGATGTGTCTGAAATGCTGGACCTCTTCACCCTCACAGAGGCGGATTGGCTGGGGAAAAGGCGGCTGACTGAGACGACGTTATGTACTAGAGATTCGCAGTGCGCATGGTAACAGCATGGATGACAATCGTCGAGCTTATCACCGGGCTCAGTAAGAGTCGGAGCTTGCATCATAGCGAAGCTACTATGGTTCAGGTTGGTGTCACGGTTGTTGTTATGTCGTTTCGAGTCGGAAAACCAGACCAGGAGTTTCAACCATCTTCCCACCAAGCACAAGTCCTTGTGATAAAGATTCCCCAGAAGGAGACAGAAAGATATCAGTACTCACGGTAGCACTATCCCAATCGGCAAAAATCAAGAGCACGAATTCGGAGTAAACGTAGTGTAGCAAAATATCAAGGCACTCCTGTCTGCGATGTTGACTGCGCCAGGCTGGCTTGGAGGATCCCAACCTTTCCTTCCTCTACCTGCTGGGCGAGGCCGGGTGGACGGAGTGGCTACGGCCTCGGCCACTGGCCAGGCGAAGCAGAGATACCATCCAGACTGGGATTTCCAAAAGCACGTTTCGAGTGGTTTCGGTTGTCCTTCCCCCCTGCCCCCTCCGGTAAAACAAGGTCCCGCGGAGGACTGGACGTGGTCGTGCTGGCCGCGTAAAACATGGTCTTTAAAATCACATAACAACCTTCCCCCTCCCCCTCCCGCTCCCCCTCCCCCCTCTCTCCTCTTCCCTCCGGTACAAAGGTCCCGCGGATGACTGGACGTGGTCGTGCTGCCCAGTCCGAAAGCTTCAATTCAGGGAAGCCAGAAAGATCGGATGAGTTACGATGTTGATCAGCGCAAACCACGTGCTTGAGAGTGGAAAGCGTTTGGCGCCCCTCGAGCCAGCTACGTCTGGCCAGAGGGCAGGGGCTCCTTGGGGAGTGGATATGTGTGAATTTTGCCGATGTTGGCTTAGATGCAGTCCGAAAGCTTCAGTTCAAGGTCGCCAGAAAGATCTGATGAGTTACACTGTTGATCAGCGCAAACCGCGTGTTTGAGAGAGGAATCCGCCGCATTCGTGGTGGCTGGTGTAACACCGGTAGCCGTCTTTTTGGTTGGTTGTCATGACAGTTTATTTTCGGGGTTCTTAATATTTCTTAGTCTTCAAGTGGGGGTTGTGTGGTTGCTGGTGCTACACCGGTGCCACACTCCCCCCTTTATAATTTACTTGCATTCACGCCTTGATAGTTTTCTTTTTATACATGTCTCACTTACTGTATCAAGCCAGCCCTCGCGGTGTCTCAGCTTGGACCTTGGGGTTCGACTTTCATCTTTACTCGGGGCCCACTACTTCCAGCCGTTATGCGACTTTGTCATGTTTTTGCAGCAAGATTTCTCCAGCAGTGGCCGCTTGTGCGGCTGCACTCTGGATCAGAAAACCACGGGCTTCCTTTGCGAGTACGTTGAGGGATACTTTGAGAGTACAAACTTTGGCTCGTCATTCCCATTGCTTGGAAAGCATTTGGCGTCCCTCGAGCCAGCTACGTTTGGCGAGACTGGCCAAGGGCTTCTTGGGTTATGTGTGTATATTGCCGATCTTGGCTTTTCTTCAGTTCAGGGTAGCCAGAAAGATCTGATGAGTTACAATGTTGATCAGCGCAGACGGTGGAAAGTGTTTGGCGTCCCTCGAGCCAGTTACGTCTGGCGAGAAGGCACGGGCTTCTTGGGGAGTGGATCTGTGTGAATTTGCATCTTGGCTTAGCTGCAGTCCGAAAACTTCATTCAGGGGTAATTAGCCAGAAAGATCTGATGAGATGTGTTTCAATCTTAATCAGAGCAAATCGCGTGCTTGAGGTTGGAAAGCGTTTGGGGCTTGCGCTTAGCTGCAGTCCGAAGGCCTTGGCTCAGGGTAGCCCGAAGGATCTGATGAGATACCATGTTGATCAGCGGCGCAAACCACGTGCTGGAATGCGGAAAGCGTTTGGAGTTTGCGCTGAGCTGCAGTCCGAGAGCTTCGGTTCCGGCTAGGGTGTTTGGGGGAGCTTGAGGGTGGAAAGCGTTTGGGGTTTGCGCTCAGCTGTAGTCCGAAAGCCTTGGCTCAGGGTCGCCCGAAAGATTTGATGTGTTACAATGTTCGTTTTTGTGGGTGGAATGCATTTGGGCGTTTCGGGCTTGCGCTTAGCTGCAGTCCGCGGGTCCAGACAGTGGCTTTGTGTAGGAATGAGGAACGGGGCTTGGGGTGTGGGCTGGAAGGGAATGCGCAGCGAAATTGGTGGGGGTGGGCAGTGCTTCTAGAAGCTGTCCAACCCCGAACCCTGAAGCTGCTTCACTTTGGCTGTTGGTGTGGCGGAGTCGCCGTCCTCGGGCAACTTTAAACCCTGAGCCTGAAGCCCTCGTCCTTAAAGCTTCGGTTCAGGCCAGCGGAATGAGAAGGCTTGTTTGCTTTGTCATGCTTTAAACTACTCAGCCGGTGGGAGTCACTCAACGAGCTGCATGCGGCCTGTTTGAAAAATTTTTCTGTAGCTTCTAGCCACGAGCAGCCCGAAAGTTTGGGTTCAGGGTAATCAACAAGATTTGTCATGTTACAATATGTTACAATGTTGATCAACGTGAACCGTGTGCTTGATTGTGGAAAGCGTTTGGGGCTTGCACTTAGCTGCAGTCCGAAAGCCTTGGTTCAGGGTAGCCAGAAAAGTTTGACGTGTTACAATGTTGATCAATGCAAATCGCGCGCTTGAGGGTGGAAGCATTTGGAGTTTGCGCTGAGCTGCAGTCCGAAAGCTTCGGCTCAGGGTGGCCAAGAAGATCTGATGTGTTACAATGTTGATCAGTGCAAACCGCATGCTTCAAGGTGCAAAGCGTTTGGGGCTTGTGCTTAGCTGCAGTCCGAATGCTTCGGTTCAGACCAGAGAAATGACAAGGCTGTAGGTTTTCACGTTGTGAAGTATTTAGCCGGTGGGAGTCATTCACCGAGCTTCCTGCACCATGGCTGAAAAGTATGTCTGTAGATTCTAGCGACAAGCAGCCCGAAAGTTTCGGTTCAGGGTAGCCACAAGAATCTGATGAGCTACAATGTTGATCAGCGCAAACCACGTGCTTGAGGGGAAAGCGTTTGGAAAGAGATCGGGTTTGGTTCCGGGTCCGGTGCTTGGCAGGCTGCTAACGCTTTGGATCTGGTTTTCCACAGTTGCCTTTGGCGCTGAAGGAGCAAGGACATGGGAGGTCTCCTTAGGCAAATACTGGTTGTTTCTAGAGCTCTTTTCAGATTCCCATTACAGGCAAGCGCCTTTTCGGCCCCAACTCTTGCGTAAAGACGTCAAACAAGGGTAGTAGCATACGATGAACAAATTTGTTCCTGATCTGTTCCGGCGGTACATTCTGCCTCAATTGGATCTGCAGCGGTAACGCACAGCATCTTGATCAATGACTTGTGCCTTCAACAGTGAATCTCACAGCTAGCTGCTGTCATTGCGCGATGCACCGGAGTTTGTGGCAGCACGACATGCCGCGAGAGGAAGTGCCGTTTGTTCTTAGGGGTCTTGTATTTCGAGCTGAGTACAGAGCTGTGTCAAGGTTGTGTTCCCGGCGCCATGTTGAGGCAAACCGTCTCAAGCACTCACCCGTGGAAGAGGGCGAGCAGCTGTCAGAAGAGTCAGTCCAAAGGTCGAGGATCAAAGGCAGGGCTCTGGTTCACACCGTGATTCCTGCAGTGTAAGTGTGCTTGGAGCTCCTTTATGCGTGTGCACTATTCGCATTACTGTAAATGTGGATTGACGTCAGATTTGGTTGTCGCGTCGCCATGCTACTCAACAGCTTTTTTGCAACATGGGTATTCGATCGCGGCTAGTTGCTAGCTCCATCCCGAAAAAGCGAAGTCTCGAAAAAATGCCACCTTCGAGCCACCCTGCAGGTGTTCTCGTGGGCTTGCCCATGCCACGGGCTTACAAACACAGTCTATTCCAGAGTGGTGCGACCTTTTGGGCAAGGGAGCTGTGCGCCAGGATCCAGAACTACTTGGCGCATTTGGTCGCAGCCCTAGTCTGAGCCATTTCGATTGGAAAAACAACTTGCGAAACCGAGGACATCAAGCATGGCGGCGGCGACGACATCAAAAAGAATTACGCCGCAAAAGAGAAGTGGTTCCTCTTCCTAAACATCGCCTGGGCAGTCTTTCATGCCGGGGGCTCAGGAGCCTTTCTGAACCAGTGAGACTGCGGAATCCTCAGCATCGTGTCGTGTCTCCTTCCTTTCAGGAGAACGAGCAGGTGGGCATCGGTGAGTTGCAGCGGGTCTCGCTACAGCACCGGCAGCAAAACGTAGCTTTCGGCCTATTGGTGTCTGCCTTTTCCGTGCTGTCGAGCTTCAGCGGCCTGGATGCGCTTCATGTCAAACATCGGGAGCTTTAGGGTTGGGCTCGGGGTGTTACTGCCTGCTGGTACCAGTTTCGAAATCTTGCATGCCCGCTGCAAGTACTGCCAAAGTGACACTTCGCATCAGGCTGGGATGGTATCAACTTCAAGGAGACAAACACAGAGGCCTTCAACGACTACAACGTTGCGTTGTACACCGTATGGACACTGGCTGAAGGTAGCAGCATGGGGTTGAGAGAGAAGGTTCGACCTGCGGCATCCGCTTATAGAAACCCTGCAGAGTGTCACATCGACTCAGGAACTATCGCTGGGTCAGGGCCCTCTTCGAACCCCGGCGCCTCCAGTACCACTTCTGGAACGCTTTGGGGCTTCCGATGCTCGAGGCGGGTCATATCCATTCCTTGTCGAACAGCCGGGGTTTGAGAGACCTTCATTGAAGCATTTCGATCCCCGGCTCCTTGTGAAAAGCGACAGGCCATCGGTAACCAGGGAAGCTCCGCCTACTGGGTGAACTACCGGCGCGACGGGCTCATGGCCAGCTTGATCAACCTCTCGCCCCTGCCAGAGGACCTACAGCTACTGCTCACGCCGAAAATTTGGTAAATTGCTGTGGGCATGTCGGTTGCTTGTTATTTGTTGAAGGCACCCATCCTGCAGCAGTCCCACTGACACTGGCTTGAATGCAGCTGCGAGGACGAGGAACACTGAAGATGCTCAGTTTGCTCTTTAGGTCATAGACCCGGCCGATTCCGAGACGGCACCTGGCTTCGTCGACGGTGGACAAAAGACCCGCCCTGGCTTCTTGTGTCCGGCAGCCCATCGGGAAGATAGGGGCAATGCCGTGCCTGCCTGCAAGGCGAGTCAGGCGTCTGTCTTGTCTCCGAGGCGCGTTGCAGCAACCCGGGTTTGTTGGTTTGGCAAGGTTTCCAAAGTTCAGGTTGCTCGGAGAATGAGTTGCAGTTGTTGAGCTGATCAGCATGCGGCATTCCGACCTCGGGATAATTCAGCAGAGCAGATCGTTGTTGCTGATTCCTCACTGGGGCCGTAACACCATGGTTGCCGGGGGTGTTGCATCACTCACATTCACCGGGTACAGAAGAACTTAAGCACTTCATAGGTCAATGTCATGCCGCCATGCCAGCCAAGCCTTTTCGTCGTCCTTCACCCTGAGCCGAGCTTTGTCCATCGAGAGTTTCTGAAGCGATGACACCAAACACTGAAGTCCTCAAAGCTGCAAGGAAAACAGGGCAGGAGAAGGGCACAGGGCCAAGTATCTCGAGTCTGCAACTCTGTGAAGGCTGGAATCCGGGGGAGGTGGAGACGTCAGGGGACCCAGAAACCGAACATGGCCTTAGATTAGGATTCGGCGCTCGTGCGGATGAGTGGTGTCACATCTCAGAGAGATACTACAGCAGGAGATCGGGTCTAAACAACCGAGGCCGGCGCCGGTGGGAGCCAAAAAAGCGGTGCAGGAGCATCCGGGTGTAGGCTTCAAGGCTCTGCCCGATTTCTGTTGGGGTCTTCAGCGACAGGTACTCGTACCTGCTGCTCCAGGCTTCAGGGGTGTTGGGCACGGAAGGTTTAGCATTCATCTCTCACGCGCAGTGCGGTTTACGTATGTCATTGTGCGAGGAGGCGCGGACGGCTTTCAAGCATGGCTCTCAGATGCTTTCAGAAGTTGCAGCAATGACTTGATCTTTTGGCAGTGACTATTTGAAGCTGGTGTTGGGATACTTGTAACTTGTTCTCAGGCTTCCTCAGCTACTGCACAGCCTGGCTGCCACGCTTGGTGCTGCTCTGAAACTGGTCTTCTGAAGTCGCAGCCAGGCTCTTCTTCGGATACCTCTCTGCGCTCTTCATCGCGCTGCGCAGCGGCGTGTCCAGCGCCAAACCAGGCGGGGGATTTTTCACCTGCTCCAGAGTCGGCTCTTGCTTCCGGTTGCGTCCGGATCTGTCAGGCAAGGATCAGGACCTCCCCTTGTGGTCGGAGCCTCCGCCCATGCCCAGTGTTGCCGTCCGGTGCCTACTTGAGTTGAGGGGGTTTCCATCGTTTTCGGGAAGTTTTCGTGTCCATTTGCTCCTACTTAAAAGAGAGCTCGTTCCCGTTCTGATGGGCGTCAGTGATATTCTGCAGGCTCCGCAGTCGCTGGTGCTGCCCCGCCGCTCGCTGTCCTTAAACGTCTTGGATGGCTACGACACCCTCAAGCTCGCCCTGAGGCGCATAGTCTTGGGGCCTCTGACAAAGACAATGTCACGGTAGGACGCAGGCATTGAACATGGTTGCCAGGCTCCTGCTGTCCACGGTGGGTCAGCGAGAGGCGGCGTCGTCCAGTCGCCGGCTCAAGCCTCAGTCGCACTGCACTCATGGGGTGATCCTCTTAAGATGCCGGCCCTCAGGCTCCTGGAGGTCCCGACGATACAGGAGCTGAGCGTCTGTACGCATGCCGGGGGCTCGCCAACGAACTTCATGGCTGTAGCTTCAAGCGACGTTGCTGTAGGTATGTGTCGCCTATCATTTGCGGCAGGAGTATGCGACAGCGCACACTTGACCATCTAGTGCGAGCCACACATCAGAGATGCATGATCAGAAAGAGCTCAGGAAGCCCATGGCAAAAGCAGTCACCAACCACTGGAGTCGTAGCATAGCATGTGAGCATGTGAGGCTTGCTGCCTGTCCAGGTCGGGCTTTACCATACCATCCGGCGGCGGGATCTCAGCGAGCGCACACTGAAGCTGACCATTACGGCCATCTTTCAGGCTTCTGGGCATTCGTGGTCTCTTGCGAAGTCAGGCTGCTGCATCCGGTTCTTGCTGCAGGTGGGCACCGCCTTCTTGAGCTTGGAAGCCGACGACGGAGGTGGGCCTAGGGACTAAACTTGGTGGGTCCGTCAGAGCTTCGACGTTCTTGCAAGGAGTCCGCGAGCAGAGCTTTCAAAGACATCGGAGCGAATTCAAGCTACGGGAACCACTCCCGAAGAGTTTTCAGCCTTTGCCCAGTATACGCTGGTGCAGGTCCCGTGGTCTCCATCGGCTGGCCGGTTCGGCTCATCGAGGTACACGTGCCAGTGCAGGGCGTACCAGGGGCTGGGATTTTTTGGAGCCTACATTAGCCGCCTCGGAGGTAGGCCTTGTTGCGTCAGCCCGGAGTTGCGATTGAAGCATTGTACATGTTGAAAGACCGAATCCTCAGCCAGAGCGACAGTTGAAGTTGCCTACCTCCCGTATGAGAGGGACGGCTGCGAAGCCAGTGTGCAGCCCGATCAAAGCTGAACCCCCAAAGCAACCTGGGAGTTGTCCGAAAAGAAGGGGTACCTGGAATTTGGGGTCCTTATCATAAGGATCCTACTAAATAGGGTACTATATTCGGCTCCCCTGTTTTCGGAAACTTCCATCTCACAAAAGTCTGCTTACTGAAAGGCGCTCCTGGCACGCAGTGATGCCGAGCCCCAGCTCCTTGTTCCCAACTCTCGGCTCTGCATCGAGGCAGGGGCCAAAGAATCGAGGTCCATGAAGTGGGAACATAAACTTAGGCAGGAGGTTGAGGGTTGAACCTCAGCAGCTGAAACTCTTCGGTGCATATGGTGCCAGGAACGAAATTGATCAAACGAAACATGTAGTCCTCGGCGTTCACAGAGGTCCTTAAGTCGTCTGCTGGCCTTGTTACTATCTGAAGCACTGCCTAAATGCAGCTCAGCATCTGCTCAAGGCCGTTCGCAACTTCGTGGTCGAGGCGCTAGGGAACGGCCGCTACTCTCTGGACTCAGCTCAGTAGCCTGATGTAGCCTGCAGCAGGCTGACGCAAGGGCACCGGGTTTAGACACAGCAAAGAAGTGTGTGACGTGATCTATGACCTTGGCAGACATCCCACAGAAGTCTCGCCCTTCCTGATTTGTGGCGAGCAATGCTGCAACTACTGTGACGCCCCCAGCACATGCATCGACCGGTTGTGTGAACGAACGTGGGTATTGACCGAGATGCATTCCCAAGGGGCAGTCAGATTTGAGCAGTTGCTCCGCTTGCATCACGCCTGTTGCATTGTCTGTGATTGAGCCTCGAAGCTTCAAACGCAGACTCGTCAGCAATGACTTCGAAAAGAACTGGGCCGAGTAAAGGAGATGTGCATCGTGCATCTGCCGTGAAGGTTCGCGGAGTCGTCTCTCGAGCCAAGAGGGAAGCCCGGAAACTATTTCAGGTTCCGCGCAGCTCCGACCACATCCAGGGCGCTGTGGCCCAGTGCAAAGGACAAGGAGGTCAGCCTTGGCTTTACTTCTGCTTTGGCCGAAGAAAGGTGGAATCCGGAAGCCTCTTCCTTTTCTTAAACCATTCTGTGTTGAGGCTGAAGCCCCTGGCAGGTGGAGGCCGTCCAGCTCCTCATTTGGCGAAGAGGACTGGCCGCTGCCTCGGGAGTAATTTTGCAGTTTTGGGCTTTGGGGCTTCAGGGTTTTTGGGGTTGTTAAAGGCTAGGGTTTGTGGATCCGCCGCTTACCGTCCGGTTGTCATGACCTGTATCCGAGTACAGCAGGGGCCGCAGTCTGAGTGGCACTGGAGGTTTTGTAGGCCACGCTTTAGTTGTGAAAAAGGTTCCAGCCAGCCTTCTTGACGAAACGAACCCTATATCCGATTTCACAAATGCTACGAGCATGACTGCTCGAATCTCAGCCTTTCGTCCGGCTTCCTTTCTTGTTTTGGTACCTGGTCATTACTGGAGCGCGTTTGACCCGAGAAGCATCATATATTCTGGCCCGTGGAATGACAGCAAGAATGCAAGCTGCGGCGCGAGTGCACGAACGGTGACTCTACAGAGCCAGCAATACGACGGTACAAACAAGGGCGTTTGGGATGAGCCTTGCAGCTAAGCGCACGCAGCTGGCGAAAATGTTGGGCACATTGAAGACACCCGTGGCATGGATGGTGCTAAGTCAGCAAGATGGATAGTCCATGAGCCGCAGAGTAATGCCAATGCTTCTAGCCGGGCAAGGGCTGTTTTCAGCCTGGTTCTCATGACCGTTTTTGGAATTTAGATGATGCTTGAGTCCATGCCATCGTGAAAACTATCCACTGCATTCATACTGATGCATTGTTTTCGTCAGGACCGTGCGCACAGCGATGCGATCACCACTACAATGCTTCCATTCCTAACTCAATCTGCTCATACTCAGCACGATAGCCTAACGGCGACATTGCATCTAGTGCACGGTGTCTGCATGGCAGATTTCCGAGGTTTGGCTTCTCGCACACCCGCAGCTGCACGATGGGGACACAGCCGGTGAGGACGGCGCAGGCACGCAGACGAACGAGTGGCAGGTCGTAGTTTGGTTCTCTCAGTTTATTTCCTCGTGTGGGGGCTTTTGCGTTGGCGAGCCTCTGCAAGTGGACAGGAAGCCCCAGCGATTCGGAAGCCAACTCTTTCTGGGGGCGCCCGCCTCAGCTGCGTGGGAACAGTATCTGGACCTTGCTGTATGAGCGAAGCCACACCTTTGCCATCCCAACTCCCGAGAGACGACATCCGTGCGAACCGGAGAGATGTGGGTGCTGGTTTATTCCTTACTACTGCGAGCGCTGCTGCAGATCACGCTGCTGAGGTGGGCCTTGTCCGAGCTGACGACGTTGGCTGGAGTCCCGAAGTATCTGCAGCTGCACCCGCTCGATTTGCCCGCAGCCGCGGAATCGCATGCCGGAGTGGACTTGTGTCGAGTCATGTTAGATAAACTTAAATACACCTCAACACGATATGCAGAGATATTACTACGCTGCTGCACATGTGGAAAGCCTGCGTTGTGCATCTATCTATCTCTCTATCTGTATATCTGTCCATCTATCCATCCATCTCCGTATCTGTGGAGCCGGACTGTTGGATCACCTTGTGAGCTAGCATGGAAAAGTGGAATGGGATGCCATGGCGTGTCGAATGATTTGTTTAAGCAATGTTGGGACTTTCCGCCCGAGACCAGCTCCATAGAGCTGTGGAGCAGTATCAGATGCTATAAGTCAGGACATGTGTAAAACATACGATGAGCACACTCGTCGAAAACCGCACCTGAAGAGAAAGTACATGTTTCCACTGGTTATGTTGAGTGAATCCAGATACAACCACATAGAGCAAACAACAGCGTAATTCATGTCTAGCAGTGAAACTGTCATTGCACGCCCGGGAGGCTCAGGAACCTTCGTAGTTGACGCGCTAACTCCCAAGACTTACCTTTGGTTAGTAGGGAATGGAGGAATGGGGTACAATTATAACTACTATTACTACCGTTCTTCCATTCCCTACTAACCAGAGGTAAGAAGAGCAGTGCGTCAGAGCATCAGTCGAGCCAGAGCATCGGCTTTGAAGCGCCGTGCATCACAGTGTCCGGTGAAGCACAGCGTCTACACAATGTTTCAAAGGCGGCGAACAGTAGTATCATGCCATGCAATATCCGACTGCAAGATGAGCCAAGAAGTTTAACCTTGAGCGACACTATGCCCTGCTTTGGTCATCTCACATGTCGCTGGAAATTTGAATCAATTGGGTACGTATGCTGACACCATAGGCGCAGGGACAGCTGCATACGAGGATTCAGACGCATAATGTACGTGTACACACCCCGTTTTCACCACACGGGTATGAACCAGTACGAACCTACCCCACCCCTGTGCACTACGTCCTGAAGGACTTAACTCCCGCACATGCAACCACGCCTTGCCACGCTGCGGAACCGGCGCGTGCACGTCCAGAGGCGGGGAACCTCCACACCACATCAATCAAAAGCAGTCCACATCCGCGAGTTTGGGAACACACTGCATCCGGAAACGGGGGGGGGGGGGGGCGTTAAGCTTGTGTTGCAATTCTCGGATCCTCTTAGTGTTTCGCCCTTGATGTCGAACCCTCGTCATGATGCATTTGCAGTGATACGGAAACAGCGCAAAGAGATAATTGGCCGCAAGGATGCGGCCACATATCAGCGTACTAGAGAGCTTTCTTGTCGCAAGAGGTCGCAAGAACCTGCCAAGTTCCTTACTTCCACCTGCTGCGTGCCGAAAAGACTTTCAATACTTCAGCACCGTCAGTCGATTGTATCGCGGCCTTTCCCGTACAAAAACAAGCAAACTGAGGCTCAGGAGATGGCTGGAAACCGGGGTACCGGATCCATCCGGCTGTTGCTCTATGCCTACAGGACCCTCCCACGCAGGTTCACGGTTCGTGCTTTTGGGTCGAAGGCTCAAGCTGCAGTTGTTCATGTAGGGTTTCAGTTCCATATGTAAGAGGATCTCCATTGCTCGCAAAGAAAGTACTATCTCGAAAACCACGAGCGAGTCCGCAGCCAGCAGTGACGGAAAGCTGCGGTTCACGAAACCAAGTTACCGAGCTTGTCGATGTCGGCATCCAAGACGTCGCAGCACTGGCTGCCTGACATGTGCAAAGGTTTGCTGGAGCACTTTAGGTTCTGCATGGTCAGTAGTTCCGTTAGAGGGTAGATGATGTCTAGCAGGCTCGAAGTCCTGATCAGGACGCTCCTGCACAACCTCGCGCGTCCCGTGAGTGCAGCAGAGTACGCGCGAGTTGGGTGCTCGGCAGACGGTCCATCAAGATCACATGACACTGTGAGCGAAAGGAGAGCCAGGACCTTTTTGCATTGAAGACTCATCATGACTAGAAGGCCTTCCTTAGTGGCGGACGTACAGGTTTGGAAATCATGTCTGTGAGTTGAGGACGAGCCGAGTGAGCTCCAGGAGGAGCCCAGGGAAGAGTTCTGTGTTCGCGGAGAATGTGAGAGCCGCAACCGGGGCAATCATAGAGGATTGAGGGATGGAGCTGACACCATGGCTTTGCGAATTGTTTCTCCTTCGGACATCTTATGAACGATGCTTCATCTCACTTTGAGACCTTCTGGCAGGATTGCCTTGGTGAAGCCGCGGACGTCACTGGTGCAGGCTGGTTTGTGCAGAAATACCGACAAGACGGTGTCATGTCGCTCATAACTTTCCAAATTAAAGTACATGGTCAGCGCCTTCGTTTTTGTGTATATATATACACACATACATACACATATCTTAGAGCATAGCGGGTTCTTAGCAGTAGCCAGAAACAGCCAAACAATAGCAACTGTGATCATGCAATACTCGAGACGAAGCAACAGTCACACGAACGCTTGCACCTCCACCATCAGCATCACCTTCATCACCACCATCCTCGCAACCATCAGAATCATTTGTATCCAGGTCCGTGTGCTACTGGCCAAGTGCTCTACTCAGCAGGGCTGGGAGGGGCCTCCGGAAGACCACAGCGGCTCGGACCGGCTCGGATTCTGCATCAAACACGAATCTTGCGATGCTTGCAGGCACTGAACCTTTTCTTCGCCGATGTATGTGGACAAGCTCTTTAGCGTGAGGTGTGCCTAAACACGAAGCGGCCTCAAACCTCAAATCCCTCAGGCAACTTTGAAAGGGATATCGCCGCTTTACGGCCGTCCATTGGCCATAGAATCCTACTACCGGTACACAGGCAGCAGCTGAGCAGCTTCGGACAGTGAAACTTGATGACACTTGGTATCATACGTTACTGAAACGACAGCCCGAGTCTGAACCCCAAAGCATCTCAAGCCTCAACATGTTCCTGAGAACCCCGAGCCGTCATTATCATAACCCGCATCATCATGATCACCATCATGATCGCCATCACCGTCCTCATGAACCCCCCCCTCCAAAATGACGCTACCTCTCGAAACCATCGGAGTGGTCAGAACCTTGGGGCCGGGACCGAGGACCTCAGCCGCGCCTCGAAAGCCGCGGCCTGGCTCTGCTGGCGTGCTTAGGGTATCAGCCGCCTCGGATACAACTAGGAGCAAGAGTCGTTGTAGGAGTATTCGCAAGAGAAGCAGTCGTCGTGGTACCCGCAGAAATCGTAGGCGTAGTCGTAGTAGTCGTGGTAGTCGTAATAGTCGTAGTAGCAGTAGTAGTCGTCGTCGTAGTAGGAGTAGTAGTAGCAGGAGGAGGAGGACGAGGAGGAGCAGTAGCAGCACTAGTAGTACTAGTAGTACGAGTAGCAGCAGCAGCACAGCAGCTGCAGCAGCAAGAATTGAACGCAGCACGAAGTCCCATCTTCGTGTGTCTCCCACTTCGGGTGCTACTGCTGCCAAAGCTCGGAATCCTGCTTCTGGATTCCGATCCTTGAACTGTTGCTTGTTAGCTCAGTATCGGGCAGCCTTAACCTATACCCGGCACCCCAAACCCAAAACCTGAAACCTAGGATCTCCGATCATGGTTTGCGGGGGGTTTGGTCGAGCCAGGTCACGGGTCGCTGTCGCCATGATAAACTTTGTGGGGTGCGGGGCACAGATCAGCTTGCCGTGCTTGCAGTTTGCACTGACAGCATGAATGGACATAGTATAAGATATGTTTATATGCATGTGTATTGGTATTGATATTATATAAGTATATCAGTATGCACACATCCTTTTTTGTGTACATCGCATTAGCAGTCATAGTGAGTTCGTGCATGTATTTATGTGAGTGCACAAACACATGCACACATGCATACGTGCATACATGCATACATGCCACACATACATATGATGTTACATATGTACATCTGAATGTGTATACAAGCTGTATATACTCATACGCGCACATATAACCCCGATTAACCCTGTCTGCGTGTCTGTGCGTGCTTTGACCGCTGCGATCACACTCGTCGCAGGCTTGGGTGCGATTATGGTATCAGCAGCAGGAGCAACCCCCCCCATTTGTATTCAGATTCGTGGTGAGACTATCGTCGTCGTCATCGTGTTGATCGTATCTCGTCTTCGTCGTCGTCGTAGTCCCACTAAGCCGATCCCTCAGCATTTTGTACACTGACAACAATAGTACATCCTTGTTGTTCTATCAGCAAGTAGATACAGTACACGAGCAAGCAGCAACGCAAGATCACAAAGTACATAAGAATGATAAGGAGACCAGTTCGAACAGTGCGGGTAGCAATGTGGCTAGTGGCCACGACAGTGATCAACCCCATGGTGATAACAGGCATACTAGATAAAACCATGCATGCGGCACTTACAGGGCTAGGAGAGCCGAGTTTTCAAAGTTAATGGCAACAGTAACGAATATCGTCACGAGACCACCTCGTCCAAGCCGTGCCCCCTAATCAGGGCTTCGCTCGCTAATGTGTGTGTGTGTGTGTGTGCAGTCCAGGCCAGCCGTCGGCAGGCCCAACGCAGAAGAACCAGATCTCCAGGTTTTGCCGCTGTTGACCCTTGGCGAGAACCATCTCAACCTGTTTCTGGTCAGGAACAGCGTTTTACATGAGATAGGGTGGCATGCCAGCTGCGCTTGATTGGCCGAGGAAGCAGTCCCTCCTGCATGCCCGCGTTCCGTCAGAGGCTTTGTGTTTGCTTTGAAGCAGAAGGTGCCTCGCTACCTGCTCACCGCTTGGAGACGCCGGAACTGCAAAGGCTCTCTGAGGATCTATGAGGTATCCTAGGCTATGCACCTCGCGAAGCTTCTTCCTGGGAGTGTCACAGAGTAAGGTCGCTTCTCGCTGCCGGAAATCACGGGCCATTCTGGGCGAGGTTGGTCATCTGTTACTGTCCGGGCTGCTCGGGATCAGGGTAACGCGATTTCGAAGAGCGTGATTAGATGCTTTTCACTTGAGAAACTGCAGCAAGCCATCCAAAAACAGCGCACCAGCCCCGAAGTTGTCAGAATTCCGGCATGACCCACTCGTGACGCGCCGTTTTGGTTGCAGCTTCTTCCAGCAGTGGCGTTGACAGGTCAGTGCTCGAAAAGCTTGCCTGATGCTCGGCACATTCGCATCACCCTTGCTTGAAAGCCTCTACATGTCACTCCAAGGCTACAGAGCATTAAAGGATACTAGGATTACAGCGATTCGGTCTGGGTAGCTGGCTGTCTCCACAACACGATTCCTGACAGGTACAACACAATACTGTTTCTTGCATTCTGCGTGCGGGAAACTTCGTCAAGCAATAAGGTGTCAGTCCTGACGGGTCCCGTCACATCAGGGGCACCATTGACGGCGCGGCACCTACAATCTGAATTATGGAGGAGTCGTCTCTCATATATCTTGATATGTGATGTTGATTGAAAGAAGGTTTGCTTGGTCTGTTGCTCATCCTTCTGAAGATGAGAGAAGGAGGAGCCTGGCTTAAGGTTGTCCGAGAGGCGGTCTCGCTTGTGTCCAAGTTCTTCCTGCAGAATCTGCAGACATTGCAGAGGCCGGATTGTGGTTTGTGTGCAACCGGAGCATCTCTAGAGACCGTTCCGCCACGCCGGAAAATAGCGAGCATCTTCTGGCAGTGATCAGGCACGAAAGCTTCGGACAGCTGTGGTCACCACCTTAGCCTACACTTCCCCGCATGACCGAAAGACCAGGCGCCTGTTGCCCGAGGCTTATGGTGCTGAGACTGATGCTTCAGTTTATAAAGCGCGGTTCCGACGACCGCGATGCTGAGTTGGAGGCGCCCCAAACTCTTCGCGCATGTCCAAGAGCTGTCATTGGTCAAGTGCCACAACAGATGACGCAAGTGCTGCAACAGCAGCTGTGGTACTTTGGAACATACGGCTTGTTGCACAGATCTTTGCTGCTCTGGCCACGGTAGCCCCACATCTGGGGCCCAGCTGCCGATTCTACAAACACGGGGATGTCGCCAGGAAGTGTCCACTGAAAACCTCAAAAACCTCTTGGGCGTTCTTGCTGGTACCTCAAATCGGGTGGCGATGAGCATGGCAGCAAGTCTATGCAAACACGATGTGCAGCTCGATTTGTACACTGCTCAGCCCGCTGGACGACTTCAATCACCCATTGGCTTGCATCGAGGTCAGCACTAGTGTCCTTGGCTTCGTTTCGCCGAAGGCCCGTTTGTTCCAACACTCTCCCACAGCCCTAAAACCTGTACCCCTTGATCGGGCAGCCCCGACAAAGAGTGAGGTCTGATTTCGAATCGGTAAAGAACTAGTGTCATCATTCAGCCTTGAGTCCGAATCTCTGCAGCTGCAGGCGGCGCAGCCGAGCGACGCGGCCGCTCGACCGGTGTGGTGGTCGCCCTCTTACTGAGTGGGCAGAGACCGCGTGGCATGCTGGGCGGCCAGACAACCTTCCAAAAAGGCAGATGACCTGGGACTGCATCGAGGCCTTGCTGATATCCGGGTTTCCTGCATGAGCACATGTTTCGGATCACAGTTGAGGATGTCCTGAAACCGGCTTGCTCAGAAAACCCGTCCGAATTGAGCTGGGCCGCAGGGCTTCCGAGTTTTAGGCCATGAAAAGGACTGAAGCATGGCGCCGTGACTGCAGAGGTGTTCATCCCGGGCTTTGGCGAGGACTTCAGCAGGCAGGGCATAGACCGGCTGTCCCCCAGGTGCCCTAGCAGTGTTGCGTAAGACCTGCGGGAGGCACTGGGCTAGGCCTGCTGCTAGGGCTAGGGTATGGAGGTCGTAGAGTCGAAGAAGAAGCTGCAGCCACCTGTCACAGCGATCTCAAGGGTTCACCGTCAAAGGTCCGTGCTGGGCACTGGGCCTGAAGAGGCCACCGTGAGGGTCCTTTGGACATGTGAGCGATGAAAGCTGCAGCTGTCCCATGCCTAGGTTGTAGCACGTTCTGAGTCAGTGACGTGCTCTCGTTGACCTGTGCTTGATGCGAGGAGTTGGGTTCACAGCGAGAGTGGACGGATCACGAAGTATCATACGTGTCAAGGTCACGTCCTGTTCGGTTGCGTGTGATGTACATCCACAGACTCGTGCATCTCGAAATTTGCATTGTTGTGATTGGTGCATCTTGCAAAGGTCCTCGGTGTTTCACAGCTAGGCCTGCTCCATTCGTAGCCTCCAGCCATGTGCCGGTCAAAGGAGGCTTGGGAACATTTCATCTTCGTACCTTGCTTGCCGAAGTCAGTCTCCAGGGCAGCCAAAAGAAGACACTCGGCTTTCTCAGTGTGCCGAATGCGTTCTCAGTGTGCCGAATGCGTGTTTTCGTGTGAATGCATGTATGCTGTTTTTAAAGGACTTCTGGGCATGCCTTTTTTGCTGATATATGCTTGGGGCCGTGGTGAACTAAGGCGGGTTTCTGCAGTGCAGCACGATCTCTTGCCGCTCCACGGAGAAGTCCTCGTACAGTTTCGAGGATGCTGCACTCGCCCTGGGGCTGACGGCCGGCCTTGGCGCAGCCGCCGCGAGCACGGCCTTAGCGCCGGGGGCTGCGCTGCTAAAGATGGCCATGATGGTCCCAACGCCGCCCCCTCCGTCACTCGCACCGCCAGCACCTCCCCTTGCGGCGGCAACACAGGGCCGGACAAACGCCCTCATTCCAGCGCAAACGCCTCCCGGGCCACCGCAGCAGTTCAGCCTCCTTGATGCTTTGCTCCCGAACTTCAACACCGATACCTTCATCTGGCGAGTGTCAATGCTGCAGATCACGGAGTACATCGGCTCTCTCTTGCTGGGAAGTGCTTACGGGTCTCCGAAGCTTTGCTCCCTGTACCTGCTGGGCGCCTCCTGGGGCCCAGCGATTGCGCAGGGAGCAGTTTGGCGGCTGATGCTTCCGATGATGTTGCACGCAAATGCACTGCACATCTTCTTCAACCTCTTCTTCCAGATGCGCATCGGCTTTGGGATGGAGAAGCAGTTCGGGCGGCGGAAGTTCTGCCTCCTCTACATGTTCTGTGGCTTCCTTGGCAACCTCATCTCCGTAGCTGCCGACCCAATGAAGCTGGCGGTGGGAGCGTCGACCAGTGGCTTCGGGCTTTTGGGAGTGTGGGCAGCAGAGGTTCTCTTAACATGGGACCTGCTGGGTGAGAGCCGCTCCAGGGTGTTCTTGTGGTTCGCTTTCATGGTTACAAGCTGCATCATGATGTCCACCATCTCCCCCAATGTGGATTTCGTTGGGCACTTCGCCGGGATGCTTGCAGGCTTCCTCCTCGCCATCATCCTTGCGGACATGCAGGAGGAGCACCAGCCCGCTTGGTACGACAAGGCCAAGATGACGGCCAAGAATGTCACGGCGCTGATCGTCATCGCTTCGCTCGTTCGGGCCATCACTTTGGGCCCAGATGGGCCCATCCCCTACTGCGGGACCATCTTTCATCCGCGCCGCTTGCCCTTCTGAGCTGTGGCCAAAGCTAGGAGCATTGAGGAGGTCCACAGCAGTATCATGAGTGTCAGACACCGATGCACGAGAAGTAATTTCGTCAGCGAACTCCCGCTATGCCAAAAGCATTAGGGCCAGGCCCGGCCTTGAAAGAGTGCAGCGGTGTCCAATGAGGACGTCTTGCAACGAAATGTGAAGCACTTGCCTTGCACATCCCGCTCGTAGAATAAAGGTCATCAAATGCAGAGAGGCTGTAGGAAGAAGCATCTTCCTTCGCGCTGTGCCTAGGAGTTCAAGGTGTGCTGGCAATGGGCAGTTTGCCGAAATAGAAGTGCCCAAGTCCCAGCCTCAATGCAGCTAAAAAGGGAGCGTGCAGCACGGAGTGCGCCTGGGCCTAGCCGATGTTCGCTTGCATGCGCCTGGTGCATTGACTCCCATCCTCTGCCGCACGGCTCAGACTCCCATGTAGCGCGGCACAAAGCAGGAGCCATCCTGCAAAGGGCCCATGGACGAATCCCAGCGCGGGATCGAAGGTCGCGCGAGGGAGAGATTGGGGGTTGAAAGGTCGGTGCCGCTCAGAGTTTTTAGGAGTCTTCGTCGGCAGGTCCCTTGCTCCAAGGCATCGTGCTGGTAAATGTTGCAGAAATGCTTCCTCCAAGATGCGCTATGCAGCTGTCGCACTGGAGCCGCTCTGCTCGTCTGGCAGACCCTTGGCTGATGGCTCTTTCCACAGTGTCCATGTTTGGTGGGTCCATGTGGGCAGGGACAGGGAGGGGAATGAAGCTTCCTTTCGCTTTAGGTCGCCTCAGCCGGGCAGCATCTGGATCTCGGCAGCGGTTGTGTCAGCGGAAAGAAGACCTGCATCACCTGGCGCGAGCGCCTCCTCGAGATGGAGATGCAGAGCCAGCTGTTGACGAAGCTTCTGTCGGGTGGCAGCTTAACGAAGAATGAGTGCAAGAGAGTTTGCACTGCCGCTGCGAGGCATCGCGGGGTGCAGCACATGCAAGATACTGGTAGTACGCAATAGGTTGGGACTAGGAAGACGGATGCCAAGTTAGCTCATGCGTCCCAGAGGCATCTTCGGCGAGAGGAGAACATCGTGGCACTTACAGCTCCGGTGGTGGTGGTAGGCTCCCTCCGGGGCGAACTGCAGGACCTCTTGACCATCTTCAGGATCTCTGGCCCTGTGCCTGAAACGAGCTATCTCTTCCTGGGCGACTACACAGTCTCAGGCGGGTGTGCAAAGAGCTGGGGCTAATGAAGGTGACGCAGAAATCTCAAGGTTTGATAGGAATGGCAGATCATGATCCGTCAATGGACTTGCAACTCTGATGCTTGGATCCAGGCCCAGATCCGTGCGGCACACTGGTTCTGCTGCTGCTCCTAAAGGCACGCTTCCCTTCCCGGGTAACGCTGCTGCGTGGTCGGCACGAGCAGCGCCAGATGACGCAGGAAGGGGCCTGAGACTTGCTTCTTCTGTAGCAAGCTTTCCCTTCGCTTCTGGGCCCGTTGAAGTATCTTTTGCGATGCCAATGAAGCAGTGT